TAAGGTAATTTTTTTTTCTAGTACTATGTTAAGTTTTCTAATTTTTCCATATTTCTCCCAAATGATTTTGGTGATGTTAAAAATTTTGGACAAATTTCTAGGGATGTAAGATCAGGAATCCTCACTTAGGACTTCACAGGTCCCATAAATGCAGGCTAAAATATTGCTTGAGCTTACTCCAAATTGACTTTGTTTGTTTGTTTTTTGGCTAGACTGATGGATTAAAGTCCACGGGGTCACTAAGAGTCAGACATGCCTGAGCGACTAAACACAGCACAACAGAATGTTTCAGGTTTCCCAGGAGGCGCTAGTGGGAAAGAGTCTGCCTGCCAATATAGGAGACTCAAGATATGAAGGTTCAATCCCAGGGTCAGGAAGATTCCCTGCAGTAGGAAATGGCAACCCGATCCAATATTCTTGCCTGGAAAATTACATGGGCAGAGAGGCCTGCAGGTCTAGAGGCCATGGGGCTACCAAGAGTCGGACATGACTGAGCAACGGAGCACACAATAATATATTTCTATGATTCCTATATTATTATCTGTTTGGTTGATTTTTCTTTAACCATACCACACATCAGGACTCTAAATTTAGGCATCGTAGGTATACTGTGGCAAAATTCTGCCATCCAATCCAATAAATATTTTTTTTGAATGATGAATTTATCTAAATTAACCCCAAATTCATTATCCGTTTCTGCTATAATTTTGTTTGGCAAATATGAATAGAGCATTAGTGGATGTTAGACCTATATTTCTCTTGCTTACTCTAGGCCTGGTAGTACTTTGCAAAGCCCTTTGTGCCAAGCTCTATACTATAAGCAAGAAGTCATTCCAGGGGCCAGTGTCAGCCGTTGAATACAAGAGTAAAATTTCAGCATATTGAGTAATGTTTGAATAAAAAGGATTTATTCTTTAAATTTTGGTTTAAGGCTTTTGAGAAAAATATATGCATTTCAGTGAAATATCAGGACATAATTGTCCAGATATATTACTGACTCTTCCATATAAATAAAAACATATTGGCTATCAGAGTGATTAGGGTTTTTAAAGACAGCTGAACTTAAGTGAACCACAGTGAAATAAACAGCACCAGGTGGAGATGAAAAGAGAATAGTACTGGGTATGAAATGATGAGGAAGGAAAGGATGACAATTTACTTTATGGGCTAAAGATATGCAGCAAAGAATATCATAGTCTATTGAATGTTTTTGCTGTTATTTTTTGCAAATAAAATATAAGATATGAAAAAAATGACCTATTTAAATTAAATATACCATACTAAGCCATGGGCTGACTCACTTTTCTATAAAAGGCAACATAGTACATATTTTAGGCTTTGAGGGGCATATAGCCTCTGTTGATGTTGTTGCTGATGCTCAGTCACTAAGTCATGTTCAACTCTTAGCAAACCCATGAACTGCAGCATGTCAGGCTTCACTGCCCTCCACTATCTCCCAAAGCCTGCTCAAACTCATGTCCCATGAGTTGGGGATGCCATCCAACCATCTCCCCCTGTGTCGACTGCTTATCTTCTTGCCCTCTGTCTTCTCCAGTATTTTCCATGAGTTGCTTTTGCATCAGGTGGCCAGTGTTGGAGTTTCAGCACCAGTCCTTCCAATTAATATTCTTTGGATACATATTGGGATATTCAATGAATATAACCTTTGTTTAAACCACTCAACTCTGCTATTGTAATGTGAAAGTAGCCATAGACGATATCTAAACAAACGTCATGACTATATTCCAGTAAATCTTTTTTTTTTTTTTTTTTTTAGAAAAAGTCATTTGACTGGATTTGGACTATAGGCCATTTGTTCTATACCAAAGGGCTTCTTGGATACTTCAGACAGAATTCTAAGAATATCAATCAATTACCTTGCCCTTGTGTAATCTCCTCCCTTCTGAATGTAGGTGGTCCATTAATGAAATATGATAAATACGACAAAATATCATTACTGTCACTAAGTAACATTATATGGCAGAAAGAAGAGCATTTGCATGTGTTAATGCAAACATACAAACCCTTAAAATTAGTTTTCCTTAGTAAATAGAAGAGAAAGTAAAAGAGATTTGAAGTCTGTGAGGGAGTCAACACAATTATATTTTTCCACTGCTGAGATGGAGAAGACCTGTGACTAGGAACTTCAAGTAGTCTTAAGCTCCGAGAACAGTTCTCAGCTGACAGCCAGCAAGGAAATAGAGATTTCTGTACTAAAATCACACGAACTGAATTCAGCCTATAACCTGAATGAACTAAAAACAGTTTTTTGTTTGTTTGTTTGTTTGCTTGTTTTTTTCCCCTCAGGGCCTCCAGGTAAAAGCCAACCTTGCCAACACTGAATAATTGATGCTTTTGGATTGTGGTGCTCAAGAAGACTCTTGAGAATCCCTGGGACAGCAAGGAGATCAAATCAGTAAATCCTAAAGGAAATCAACCCATAATACACATTGGAAGGACTAATGTTGAAGCTGAAGCTCCAATACTTTGGCCTCCTTTCTCCTCTCCAAAGATGGAGAGTTTGTTTGTTTGTTTTTTTCCATCACTCTGTAGTTTTCATTATCTACTGTCCAAGCAACAGGAGTTCTCTCTTTGGCCTTTTAATTATCATGAGTTTGATATGGATTGCATGTCTCTTTTATTTAAAGAATCTCTTCTTAAAGCTCAGTTAAAGGCTGTAATTCCTATAAGGTGGTAATTTACCACTCTACCCTTCTTTTATTATTTTTTAACTTAGTTAGCCATTTCTAGTTTTGACCAAGTTACCAATAGATTGGACAGAGCAGATGATGTGAGAATTTCAAGTCCAAGGTCTAACCCTTTAAAGGTCATAAGACAACTTCTGAAATCTAAAAAAGAACAATGTTTTATATGTTCACACAATTTAATCAAAGTTCATTCAACTTTGATAAGAAACCCTTCAGGGATGGCAACCAAGATCATTTTTCTTGCCCTCTGAGCGTTAGTGTAGTCTAAAGGTATAAATTTTTATTATTTTTCAGTATCCCTGAAACTAGACCCATTTGATCTTTCCAATTCATGTTTTGGCATCCCTGGGGTCAAAAAAGAAATGGATTAATTGATATAAATCAGGTAGCCTAGTGATAAGTCCTTGCTTTTAAGACCTACTATATCCTTCTACTTTTCTGTCTATTCAATTAATTTTTGAGAGTTTGATATCAAAACTACAACTAAAATAATTGTAATACATAGTGGAACTTTATGTAACTTTGTTCTGTATTTTCAAACTCTCCTGTAAATAAGTTATCATACTTTCATAATTATAAAAGATTTTTAATTTCAAATAATAATAATCTCATTTTTATTTTGTGGAAAATGTTTAATGATATCCCAAAACTTTGGAAACTTTGTTTTAGGGCAGGTATCAGCAAGCTATAGCTCATGAGCCAAAGCAGGCATGCCACCTATTTTTGTGAATAAAGTTTTATTGAAAGACAGGTATGTCCATTTATTTTTGTATTATTCAAGGTTGCTTTCACAATATAGAGTTGAGTACTTGTAACAGAGACCATATGACCTAAAAAGCAGAAGTATTTGTTATCTGACCCTTTACAGAAAAAGAGTATGGGCTCTGAAGTCAGCCTTCCTGGGTTCAAATACTTTTTCTACTGCTTATCATCTGTGTGATTGTAAATAAGATATTTAACTTTTTGTGCCTTTATTTGCTCATTTGGTATTCCAATCTATGTACAACACATAACTACTGATTTTGTTGAGAAAGACTTTTAGGTATTATCTAAAACATAATCACATTAACCACCATTCTTGGCCATTTACCCTGAACTAGGCAGTGTGTAAAATGCTTTGGACCTGTCTCGTTTAATTATTAAAACACTCTTAGGAAGCATTAATTTATAGATTAGAATAACATGAAGGTAAAAGCTTACATTCATTTTTATTTTATATACATACTTTCATAAGTCTCGACTGATAATATGTTCAGGATTTAGATAATCGCAGTTGTATTTTCCTCAAAATGCTATAGAAAGGAGAACAACTATTAATTATCATGACATATATCCACATACACTTACTTTCTAAATGTAAGAGAGAAATCTTGGTCAGTCTGTAACATTTACTTAAAGCTAGAGTAGCAGTCTAAGCTGAATTTAGAGGGAAGTTATGAGTGACTTCAAGTGGTTCTGGAGGTCTCCGAACTAGACAGCAGGACTACTCAGGATAGCAGGGAATCTTGGAGGGCACTGCAGAGCTTGTGAACGAGCTAAGTCTATGAACTTGACCCACATTAATAATATCTTCTCCATTTTACAGATACTAAAACTCTGGTAGTTTACCAAGTTTTTTCAATGTTATATAAGAAGAAGTTCAGTTTTTGTTGTTGTTGTTTTCTTTAATCCTAGGTTTTCCATTTCTTAACCATTTCTCTACATTGCTCTCCAAGAAGTACACACTTGCAAAATTCTACCTCTAAGTAGTATACTAATCTTACCTATGCCTCATGGCATTAAGAAGGACACTCTTGTAGAAATGAGGTAATCAATTATATTCTGTTCAACTCACATTTAAAGGATAGCAGCTGCATATAATTTTGCACAGTGCTATGAAGATATAGAGATACTAACTTGACCCTCAAGGAGTTCAAGATCTAGAAAATATAGACACAACATAAATACAGAGGATGGCAGTTATAAATGCTATAAGTACAATCAATATGTTCTAATAAGGCCTTCAGCAAGGATAAGGTAAAGATCGCCATTGCCATGTTAGTATGTTGTTGTTGTTCATTATGATACTAAAACTGTAGTTACCTTGAACAAATCAGTATTAGAAATTTTGCTAGTTTATCCACACAAGTATGATATATCAAAGTTCGCTTGAATTTTTTATAAGAATAATATTTTCTGAATTTTAAATGAATACTGATTCTGAGCCATAGATGTATGCTACAATAATAGGATGTTTGCCTTCCAAATCTGACAGAAAATTATCAAAGATTAATAAGCTGTACTGTGACTTACCCCACCAAAGATACATCAGCTCAGAAAGTACAAATGTGGCTGCTTCTAAGAAGAGTGTCTGTAAATTAACAAGAAAGTTCCCAATTAGATTATAGATGATATACATTGCAATTCCTTACTTTTATCTGACTTTGTATTTAACATGAAGAGATAAATCATGACATCCCTATCTAGAGCCAAACAAATATGTAATTCAATATGAAAACTTTAATATTTGTAGTTAGCACAAATGCTATAAAATTTTACTTAATATCATAATTCATTTCATGTTAAAAGGGAGCAAACCAGATGCGTGTCAAACTAAATTTTAACCTACATGACAACTAACATAGAGATGCATCCAAATGAACAGAAGCAAGGTTATTCATACATTTAAAATAGTAAAATCACTCTGTACTGGATACAGTGCCATCTGTTTTAATAAACTAAAATAATCTGCAAATAGACTAAGAAGTTTAGGAACACTCAAAATAACCATCTAGGTCAGTTCAGTTCAATCACTCAGTCGTGTCTGAGTCTTTGCAACCCCATGGAATGGAGCTCACAAGGCTTCCCTGTCCATCACCAAATCCTGAAACTTGTTCAAACTCATGTCCATCGAGTTGGTGTTGCCATCCAACAATCTCATCCTTTGTCGTCCCCTTCTACTCCTGCCTTTAATCTTTCCCAGCATCAGGATCTTTTCCAGTGAGTCAGTTCCTCTCATCAGGTGGCCAAAGTATTGGAGTTTCAGCTTCAGCATCAGTCCTTCGAATGAAGATTCAGGGCTTATTTCCTTTATCATTGACTGGTTGGATCTCCTTGTAGTCCAAGGGACTCTCAATAGTCTTCTCCAACACCACAATTCAAAAACATCAGTTCTTCAGTGCTCAGCTTTCATTATGGTCCAACTCAGATCTATATGTCTCTGTTTCCATTGTTTCCCCATCTATTTGCCATGAAGTGATGGGATTGGATGTCATGATCTTAGCTTTATGAATGTTGAGCTTTAAGCCAGCTTTTTCATTCTCTTCTTTCACTTTCATCAGGAGGCTCTTTAGTTCTTCTTCACTTTCTGCCATAAGGGTGCTGTCATCTGCATATCTGAGGTTATTGATATTTCTCCTGGCAATCTTGATTCCAGCTTGTGCTTCACCCAGGCCGGCATTTTGCATGATATACTCTGTCTGCATAGAAGTTAAATAAGCAGGGTGACAATGTACAGCCTTGACATACTCCTTTCCTGATTTGGAACCAGTCTGTTATTCCATGTCCAGTTCTAACTGTTGCTTCTTGACCTGCATACAGATTTCTCAGGAGGAAGTTCAGGTGGTCTGGCATTCCCATCTCTGGAGGAGTGTTCTGCAGTTTGCTGTGATCCACATAGTCAAGAAAAAGAAATGCAAAAAAAGCAAAATGGCTGTCTGAGGACGCCTTAAAAGTAGCTGTGAAAAAAAGAGAAGTGAAAAGCAAAGTAGAAAAGGAAAGATATACCCATTTGAATACAGAGTTCCAAAGAATAGCAAGGAGAGATATGAAAGCCTTCCTCAGTGACCAATGCAAAGAAATAGAGGAATACAATAGAATGGGAAAGAATAGAGATCTCGTCAAGAAAATTAGAGATACCAAGGGAACATTTCTTGCAAAGATGGGCTCAATAAAGTACAGAAATGGTAGGGACCTAACAGAAGCAGAAGATATTAAGAAGAGGTGCTAATAATACACAGAAGAACTGTACTAAAAATATCTTTACAACCCAGATAATCATGATGGTGTGATCACTCACCTAGAGCCAGACATCCTGGAATGTGAAGTCAAGTGGGCCTTAGGAAGCATCACTATGGACAAAGCTAGTGGAGGTGATGAACTTCCAGTTGAGCTATTTCAAAACCTGAAAGATGATGCTCTGAAAGCGCTGCACTCAATATGCCAGCAAATTTGGAAAACTCAGCAGTGGCCACAGGAATGGAAAAGGTCAGTTTTCATTTCAATACCAAAGAAAGACAGTGCAAAAGAATGCTCAAACTACCACCCAATTGCACTCATCTCACACACTAGTAAAGTAATGCTTAAAATTATGCAAGCCAGGCTCAGCAATACATGAACCGTGAGCTTCCAGATGTTCAAGCTGCTTTTAGAAAAGGCAGAGGAACCAGAGATCAAATTGCCAACATCCGATGGATCATTGAAAAAGTAAGAGAGTTCCAGAAAAACATATATTTCTGCTTTATTAACTAAGCCAAAGCCTTTGACTGTGTGGTACAATAAACTGTGGAAAATTCTGAAAGAGATGGGAATACTAGACCACCTGACCTGCCTCTTGAGAAACCTGTATGCAGGTCAGGAGGCAACAGTTAGAACTGGACATGGAACAACAGACTGGTTCCAAATAGGAATCTTTTGAACTGTGGTGTTGGAGAAGACTCTTGAGAGTCCCTTGGACTGCAAGGAGATCCAACCAGTCCATCCTAAAGAAGATCAGTCCTGGGTGTTCATTGGAAGGACTGATGTTGAAGCTGAAAGTCCAATACTTTAGCCATCTGATGCGAAGAGCTGACTCATTTGAAAAGACCCTAATGCTGGGAGGGATTGGGGGCAGGAGGAGAAGGGGACGACAGAGGATGGGATTGTTGTACGGCATCATTGACTCAATGGATATGGGTTTGAGTGGACTCTGGGAGTTGGTGATGGACAGGGAGACCTGGCGTGCTGCGGTTCATGGGGTCACAAAGAATTGGACACGACTGAGTGACTGAGCTGAACTGAACAAAGTCAAAGGCTTTGGCATACTCAATAAAGCAGAAATAGATTTTTTTTTTCTGGAATTCTCTTGCTTTTTCAATGATCCAACCAATGTTGTCAATTTGATATCTGGTTCCTCTGCCTTTTTTCAATCCAGCTTGAACATCTGGAAGTTGATGCTTCACGTACTGTTGAAGCCTTATCTTGGAGAATTTTGAGCATTACTTTGCTAGCGTGTGAGATGAGTGCACTTTGAAATTTCCATCCAGGTAATCTGTAAGTAATTTCAGTGTTGATTATTTAAAGTTTGATAATTTAATGGAGGAGAATCTAATCAATCTAATTAAGTGCTTTAGGGACAATAAGAATGTTAAGGAAAAGAAAAGACAATTGAGAAAAACAGTGGAAAAGTGAGCGTTTGAGAGAAAAACTGAGAGAAGGAAGTATTATAAGACTTCTTCCTGGAAAGGAGGGTCTAGGTTGAAAATATTGCAGTTTTCTTGGCTTGGCTATTTCTAACCTGATAACATTTTTTCTTTCTTTTTTTCACAGACCCTTTTGAGAATTTGACTATGACCTCAGAAATATACACTGTTTCAGAAAGGTTATAGTTCTCCTAAATTCCACTTATGGGCTTGAGGTTAAGAAGACAGGTTATAGAAGCTGAAAATTTTTTCAGCCTCCTTAGTTGAGAGGAATTTTGCATACATTCTCAATGTACCAGCAATGTCAGGCTTCTATGGAATAGACAGACTAAGATGTGTGGTTAATTTATCAATATAAATATTTTGTGGGGAACTTTCTAGACTGGAACTTTTTCTTTATTTTTTTAGACTTCTTTTGGTTTGCTATAGATCTCATATATGAATCCTGAATCTCTGAAAATAATAACAGAAAGAAAAATATCAAATTTATTATCTACTGGTACTATTTATGCATGAATTATTCTTGATTATAAAATGTACAAGCTCTCTATATATTTAATAATAATTATTTTCTATAAAATGTCAAAGAATAATATTCTGAGGTGTCACTTATCTCAGTGAAATGTCTGGGTTTTTTCACAGCTATTTCCCCTTCCATAACCCCCAGCTCCCAGAAAGACTTTTCCATTTCCAAAGAATTTTGGTGAATTTTTGTTTATATCCTGGTGTTTTCACCACTGAATTAAATATTCAATTAATTCATAAGAATTGTCCTTGTTGCCCACATTTTTTATCCTCCACAATTATATATTTTAAAAAAAAACTATTCTTCAATACACAGAAATACATAGAGAAAGATGCTATCATATTATCAAAATACCATCTATCTCAAGGAGAATTTATTGGTTAAACAAATAACATGCATATAAAATATATGTAATATATAGATTCTCCCTGGTGGCTCAGACAGTAAAGAATCTGCCTACAATGCAGGAGACTGGGCTTGATCCCTGAGTTACAAAGAGTCCCTGGAAAAGGAAATGACTCCCCTCTCCAGTGTTCTTGCTTGAAGATTTCCATGGACAGAGGAGACTGGTGGATTACAGTCCATGGGGTTACAAGAGTCTGACATGCCTGAGCAACTAACATATTTACTTTCATATAGTATATGATCAGTAAGTGACAACAATGTGGAATCAATATTACAATTTCTACTATATATCGATAAATAAACACACTCATATGCATGATCAATGTAAGCATATGCATACTAAAAAACACAGTTCAACATTTGTGAAAGGAAGGAAGAGTAAATCTCTCTGGAATTCCCTGAAAGAAAAGTGACCAGGGCAAACGTGAATGTATTCACATTTAACCTGCCATAACGAGTAGTTCTAGCCAAGTTTAATACTTCTGTTCAGATTTACGGCCAGGATAATATATATTTTTTTTCATTCCAAATTGCTACCTAGAATAAGTGAAAAGCAAGAATATCAGGTCATCAACTACACCAGGGAGAAATGGCAAAGACCTCTCATGCATCTGTTGTCTTCTACTTATTTCAACAATACACAACACTGAATTTGTGCTAATGATGAGAGCTGAAGAGAGCTATTTCAAATCCTAAAAGATGATGCTGTGAAAGTGCTGCACTCCATATGCCAGCAAATATGGAAAACTCAGCAATGGCCACAGAACTGGAAAAGGTACATTTTCTTTCCAATCCCAAAGAAAAGCAGTGCAAAGAATGTTCACACTGCTGAGCAATTGCACTCATCTCACATGCTAGCAAAGTAATGCTCAACATTCTCCAAGCCAGGCTTCAACAGTACATGAACTTCCAGATGTTCAAGCTAGATTTAGAAAAGAAAGAGGAACCAGAGATCAAACTGCCAACATCCTTTGGATCATT